TAACCATAAGGGTTCTTAGATCCAATTGGCTATTGTTTTCTTATCATATATCTTCAACTTATTTTATAGGATCAAGCTTTTTTATTTTTTTTAGAAGAGGAACAAGTGGTTAAAGATAACGCATTTGACACTTATGAAAAAATTATGCTATGATTAGTAACACTCCTAAATGTTAAATCCTCAATTTTATAAGTGACTGTAAGTAAATTGAATGATCACATTGTTGCTAATTAAATCAAACTTATTCAACTTGCCAGTTAAAGCTATACTATCATCAACAAATTAATTTGTGATATCATTACAATAGATTCGAGAATCAGTCTAGTCAACAACTGCTCACAAGAACTCCTATTAGGAAATAAAAAAGATGAGACCATATTATAATTGGTTCCAACCTCAAACCAACACTTAAAAAAAGGATCCCTTACCCTAACTTAGTGATAATTGGCATTTGTTCTAACTAAAAGGTCATGAGTTCGAATTCCCACGAATAAAATGTTCTGAAATTTAATTTTTGTAGATCCTTAATTCAATGTTATTTTATTTTATTGTTATTAGTACTTTTATTGTTATTATTAATCCAAAGTTTAGAGTCCAATAAATAGAAAATTTTAGAATTAGAAATAGATAAGAAATTGATAGGGTAAAATACACTTTTTGCTTCCTGAAATTTAAAAAGTAACACTTTTACTTCTTATATTCGAGAAATATTTTTAAATGGTTATTGAGTCTATTTTACCGTTCTAACGAAAAAAGTGACGTGRCATAATGAGATGACAATTTTTAAAAGATACCTGGATAGAAGATTTTTTTAATTAAAATTTAAAAATTATAAGTGAAAGAGTGAAATAAATCTCAATCCCTCCTTCAATCTTGTTAATTTTAGTCATGAATACTATCCAAATTTGAAATTTAATACAAATTTATTTCCTTAATTTGTTTTTCATCTCTTTAAAAAAGTAATTATTGGATTAAGTTTCAAAATTCAAAATAATTGAAAGGGAGGCAATCCAATCTCAATCTCTCCTTCAAATCTCCTTAATTTTAGTCATCAAGATATTGGGTATTCAAATTTTTTCTAAGATTAAATGTCAAATTTGACCAAATTGTTTCGATAATTTAAAAAATTTATCTATTTTATAAATAGATTTTAAGAAGTTAATTCAATAATTTAAGAAATTTAATATCCAAGAAAAAATGATTTATGAAATTTATCTATTTTATAAATAGATTTTAAAAATTTAATTAAATGATTTAAGAAATTTATCTTAAAATAGATTTTAGGAAATTCATAAAATATCCGTCTCGTTCTCTCTCCTCTCTCTCTCTCCGTCTCGTTATCTCTCTCTCGCTCCTCTCTCGTTTGCTCTCTCCCCTCTCTCGTTTCGTTCTCTCCTCTCTCTCCCTCCGCCTTTCGCTCTCGCCCTCATATTATCTCCTCTCCCATCGTAGTAGAGATCTGAGAAACGATGGTCTAGTTTAATGGTGTGGTTTTCGATTGGGACGCCGTCGTCCGTCGTCGGCTTTCAGAACTCTAGTTTTCCACCATCAACTAAATCGTAGAGAGAGGAGATGTAGCAAATAACGAGGGCAAAAAGTAAGGAATAGGGAATAAAAAAAACTAGAGGGATATTTTTTGTCTACTTTGTTTTTTCTGCAAGTAAAAAAGAGAAAAAAATGGGGAGGAGATTGGAGAATATTTTGTTTCTTCTTCGTTTTTTCTGCACGTAAAAAACAGAGAAAAATGGAGAGGAAGGAGGAGAGAGGAGAGAGAAGAGAGGGGAGAGTGAACGGAGAGAGAAGAGAGAGGTGACAAAGAGAAGAGAAAACAGAAATATTCATGAAAAAATAAAGAAGACAAATACGTATCAATAAACATTTAGAAAACATAAAGCTTGAGGGATAGCTGGCCTTTGAAAAAGGTTATTAAGCCCAATTTCCCTTTCTTTCCTTCATTTTCTCTCCTCACCCATCCTCTTCTGGTTGCCGCCGCACCCCATTAGAACCCACAAGAAAGCATAAAATCCAGTATGAATCCAACAAAGTAGTTGTCAGAGATGTTAAGGATCCCACATTGATAAAAGAAGRGACTTAATAATGGTTTATAATAGACATGGGTTACTCTTCTCATTGCCAATTGGTTTTGAGATGGAACCCATGAATATTAATAAAAGAAATAAGAGAAAACCCTAGATTTTTCTATTCAAATTTAAGGAAAATACTTGTATTCCAATTCCATATTTTTCTATCGGGTTTCCAACGACAAATTTTCCTTAAATTTGAATATCTACAAATTCAACTTATTTTCATTACAAATTATGGTTTAGGTATTGTTCCTCCAATGATCGTAGTACCAAGTACTTCTTGCCGAGCTCTAATATGATCAGATTTATAAGTAAGCATCTCTTGTAAAATATGAGCAACACCAAATCCCTCTAGAGCCCAAACCTCCATTTCTCCCACCCGTTGTCCACCTTGCTTGGCCCTTCCTCTAAGGGGTTGTTGTTTAACAAGTGCATAATGTCCACTGGAACGTCCGTGTATTTTATCATCAACTTGATGAAATAATTTCAAGATATAAGGCTTTCCTATTATAACAGGTTGTTCAAAAGGATTTTCCGTTCTTCCATCAAATATTCTGCTTTTTCCCGGATAACTGAAATTAATATAAAAATGGTTAAAAAACACATTTGGTCCATAAACTTTCATTAAAGTAACATACATACATATATACATACATACTATTAGTTGAAGTAATATTTTGTAATTATTTTTGCTTGTTATTGTATTTTAGTTTAAATATATTGGTTATTTTCGTTTAGATTTGAAAATATATATTTAAATGGAAATATATACAATTTTTTTTTGTTTTTCTTTTAATTTCATTGCAAATTTTAATTTATTAAGTTGATTTGATTAGATTATTTATCTTACATTACTATTTCATATTTCATCATTATAGTATTATTAATACAACATCATAAGAACATAATAGTCCAACCTATCAAGTGAAGTGCTTACGCCCCTTTAGAGATAGGGGCGAGCAAAAGAGTTTGTTGTTCTATTGTGAGATCTTTAGATTCGTCAATTCTGATGAATACCCATACAAAAAATTTTAATTTCAACCATTTAGAATTAATTTGAATCTAAACAATCAGTAATTCCAAATCATTTCCAACCAAATCTATCAGCCAAAACTTTAAATGGCAAGATAATACACACGAACAAAGCAAAGAAGAAGTCAAAACAACAGAAAAACGATTATACTTTCAATCCCTCGATGAAGAGAGAAGAAAAAAGATCCATAGCATCTTGTGGAAGAGCAATTCCAACCTCCACTCCACCATTCCTACTCTCAACCATATAAAATGTCATACCCGGAGTCATCGAAGCCAGCTCCACTTTTCTACAGCTTGATCCCCATCCAAAACCAACGTCGTAAATCTCAAACCTCGGCGAGTCAGCCACTGTAATTCCTTTATCTACGGGCATATTACCGAACCAATGCAAGAACAACTCGTCCATCAACTCACCAACTTCATTACTCTCCGCCTTCTCCTCCATCTCCACAATTACACCGTTCAACTTGTTGGAAATTGTCCCCATGCTATTTTCCCCATGGAATTCCCTCGCTTCCAGAAACAGCCCACACCCACCGATTCCATTCCCCAAATAGTTCGCTCCCACTAGATTTCCTCCCAAACGAGTCCGCCAATCCACGGGGAAAAATAAAGCAACTTTACTTTTCGGGTCCACTTGTTGGGCTTTGATAATGCAGGTCGAGACATGGGCGTATGTCAGCACAAAGGTTGATAGACGACGACGGCGCGTGGAATTGGATGACGAAGAACTTCCCGCCGCCATTGTCCGGAGATTGTCGATGTCGGCACGTGTTAGCTCAAACGCGCCATTGACCACATTGTCCGGGGTGGCCACTCTGGGGGAAAGTCTCAACTTTCGGCCGAATCTACCGAGGAAAATTCCGCCGTACTTGAGGTACACTTTTTGCAGGCCAGCTGGATCCTTGGCGGCGGTCCTGTCGAAATCCAAAGTTGGAAGATCCGATTCGGATTCGTGGGTACAAATGGAAGCCCACGATTTCAGGAACATGATGAACGTTTTCCCATCGACAACCGAATGGTTGGTTGCAAAGCCAATTGAAAATCCGACGTCGGGAAATAAAGTGATTTGGAGACACATAATCGGAGCGGCACAAGTAGTGTCGTCGGGTGCTTGGAATTGGGGAACSAGGAAATGGGATTCGTTGGCCTTCCTTATTTGGTCCGACGAGAGACGGTGGAAATGAGCAGCGTCGGCTTGGGCGACGKTGAGGGAAACAGAGTCCCCGTCGCCGGGTTTGTAAAGAATGAAGGGCTCGGGGGAATCCTCCGGCCAGACGACGTTGCCGGCGAGAGGGAAGAAATGGGAGAGCGTCAGAGAGAGAGAATTTTTTAGTTTTTGGAGTATTGCATCGGCGGCGGCGCCGGCGGGGAGGGAGTAAAAAAGTAGGCGCTCAGTGGGAGGAACTGTGATGAATGGGAGATCGAAGAAGGTTAAGGGAAGAGAAAATTCAGATGGTGGAGATGGAGATGGACTAATTTTGCACACTTCCAATATCTTCAGTAGCTCAAACTTTGCTTGCAAGATGGGATGATCTGTGTGTGGCTATTTATATTGTTAAATAATATTTTTCAAACTTTAATATTGAAATATTTAGAAGCCACTGTATCAAGTGGTTTGCCAAATCTTTATAGTTTTTTTAGGGATAAAGTTAGCAACTCCAACGTTTTGGTTCAAACATATATGTCAATTATCATTTGTTTGGATCAAATTTGAATAATTGAAGTAACTCGAAAATAATAGTGACAGCAAATTATAAAGTCACTGGTTCTTGGAATCTTATCCAGACTGAAATGTAGCAAATTTATGGCCACTGGATTATTATAAAAACAGTGGATTTTGGATTTTCCTTTGCTGTCGTTGATTAGACTGCCAAAAATGGAAGGTGAGAACGAAAGAAGGAAAGGGAGGGGAAATTGCCGGAGTTGACCTGTAAAGGTTTCCACTTTGAGCCAAATTACCGACTTTTTTTTTTAATCTCTTTTTCTTACCTGCTTAAAATACTTTTTGAGTTTTGAGATATCAAGTCAGGTGAAAGGATTATTATGCCCCTTTTTATTTTCTCTCTTATCTTATTTTGTTTCTCTTTTTCTACTCTCGATTTTAGGCTTCAGTTGCTTTGTTCAACCTTTTAGAATTTTTCGTTTTATAAAAATGGAAGAGAGATTTACCGTTGTAAAAAAATGGAAACCGCAATGTTTTGACCAAACCAAAAGAGATTTACAATTATAAAAAGTCAGCTAATTTTTTAGTCTTGGATAATCTTTTTTTTTTTCCTAATGTTCGTTGACAACTTGACATTAAAATGGGTGTAAATATCGGACTTGAATCCGACCGAGATTGCATAAATCTGGCCCCTCTATTTTTTTAAGTTGGATTCGTTTTAATTAAATCATCATAAATATTGAGGGAGATTCATGCAATTTTACTGAGGTTTTTTTCCTTTTTTCCTTTGGGTTGGTTGAAATTAAATGAGCATGATGCAATCTTAGCTAGAGTTCCTTGACTATAAAAAATAATAATAAAAATCATTTAAAAAAACTTAATCTTGCTTTTAAAGTAACTTTTAATAAACTGACGAAAACTTAGTCTGGATTCTTGCTRCTAATTTTTGGAAAAAGAAATATAGAGGAGTGATTCGTATTTGCAAAAGAGATCGAATTTTTTGGTTTACTGATGAAAASTTGGGRGAATTTTGCCTGGGAAATGAAACATAGCAAAAGATTGAGGCTAAAACTCGGGCAAATTTTTTACGAAAAATAAAATAGTAACAAAAAATTGAGGTAAAAACTTGAGAGAGTTGGAAGAAATCTCGTTCGAGTTATGAAGTTCTACTGAAAATATTCGTTCATAGGTGAGTGATTCAAGCAAATAAAGAGACAAAGTTTAATGAAACAACCAAGCCAAGGAATGAATTACCTAAGAACCCAACAACTCTTGGCCCGCAAAAATTCGCCCCTTTCGGGTAAGTGTAATTTCGTACCTTCGCTTTCATTGGCGTATTAGAAAAAACTACTTTTGATTATTTGGAGAGATTTTATGATTAGTAGGTGAATGTTTGGAGATTTTAAATAAAAGGTTGATCCAGTTGAAATTAAAATTTTATAGGAAAGTTTGATACCTAATAAATTTTTATTTTGATTTTGAGTTTTTAAATATACTTGGTAGAAGATACATGGTCGGACTTACAATTCAAAGGAAAACAATAATATTCAACCAGGAAGATGTTAAATGTTATTTAAAGGGTGTGTTTGAGAGCGGTGGTAGAATTAAAAAAAGACATTTAAGTTTAATTGATTTTTAAGCAATAAAAATCAATTTTTTTTAATACAATATGTGGGGATGCGATCAACAAAAATCAACTTGATATCTCTAAGATCCTCTGTTTAATTTCACCAAAAATCAAATCCCAATAAATCAATGTACAAGAGATGAAGTCCTAAAGTACAATTGATTTTTCAAAATCGTCTAACTTATACCTTGAAAATCAATTTACAGTGATTTTCAACTTTACTAAAATCAATTTTTTAATTTGCTAAACATGATCAATGGAAATAGAAGTGATTTTGACACGGGTAAAACTGATTTTGGCACTCTCAAACACACCCTAAGKGGCCGTTTGTTTCGTGGAAATCCAARATTCTCGTGAGATGGACATTTGGATTCCAACGTTTGTTTTGTGGTAATGCAAGATATCCGGATATCCTAAGATGCCTATTTGGAAGGCATCCGAGTCGATTTGGATGCCCTTTTGAAACATCGGTTTCCATGATTCGGGGCTATGTTGATATTTTTACCCCTTCGTTATTTTTTCATATATTTTCTTTTATCAAATTTCTTTGGTTTTATTTGTATTTTTATAGTTTAAATGAATTAATATACTCATTGACTAATAAACAATTATGTATACTTATGTATTACATGTACATATAAAATAATCTTCAATTAAATTAAACAATATCTCTATTTACTTTTAATATTTAGAATAAATTATTATGAATAATATCTATTATCTTAAATACATAATTTTAAAGCAACGTTTTTTTAACTATTTTTCTTCTTAAAAGAATATAATTTTATAATATAATAAATGAAGTTTATCTCATATAACATTAATTATATAATTGTATTTTTAAAAAAATATTAAAATTGAAAATGACATTTATATTCAATATTCATTACTTTTTAAAAAGTCTTATATTAATATGAATTCTACCTAATAACATATAAAAATTATATTATATTAATGTATAAATTATATGAATATTCGTAAGGGCGTGTTTGGAACATCATATAAATTTAGAACATTCCCGAACATCCTTATATATTTTTCTACGAAACAAATGTGGTCATCTGAAGATCTCAGATATCTAAAATTCCGAACAACTGAAATTTCAGGCATCTGAAGATGTCGGGTATCTGCACTCCAAAAAACAAACGGCACCTAAGCCCTACATCTTAAATCCCCAATTTTGTAAGTAATTATATGACCTAAATTATTGTAGTGATGGTGAGATTACTGTCAATTAAATCAAACTTCTTCAACTTGCTAGTTAACAAACTAATCGCTCACAACTCAATTCAAAAACTCAAATTCCTATTAGGATAAAATATAAATATAGAGTGGACTACAAGCACATATATATAGATAGATATTATTTATTAAGTCTCACACACCTATGATATTAAAACAATTTGGTTAATACCACGCAAACATAACAAAATTTTCAACTATTAGCTTAACTAATAAAGGGAAGGAACTTGTAAATATGGATAATATGTGATGTCACATTTTAATTGGTAGGAGGACCACCTTCTAACTCCCACATTGACTATTTGAAGGGAAATAATTATGTAATTTATTGACTTTATCAATAGGTAATATACCCTTTTTTTAATACAAGAGGCTCCGTATCTATTTTTTTTTTCTTTTTCCGGTGTAACGAGTGGGATTGACGAATTTGAACTCATTACTATTTTATCAGAGGTAAGTATTAATTACGGTTAAACTAAGTTCACGTTGACAATAACTCATGACCTTTTGGTTAGAGACCGTCAATTACCGCTTTGTTGGCAAGAAGCTCAATATCTATCGATTCTTTAATGTTATTTTATAAAATATAGCGCTACTTAAGTAACCATATTTTCAAAATTTAATTTCACATGAATTTAGATAGAAATTGCTAGCGTAGCGTTTTCTTATATAAAAAAATTGAGGACAAAACTCAAATTTTAAAGCGTATGGGGTTGAAAAATTAAGACCAGCATGGACAACATGAGCTAGCTCAACAGTAATTGACATATATCTCTGACCAAGAGGTCACGAGTTCGAATCTCTCCACTCCAATTATACTAAGAAAACGAAATTAAGATCAGCATGTATGTTGGAGACGTTTTATATGATTATTTATCTTGAAAGAAAATTTCAAAATAAATCAATATTGAATTTCGATAACACAATGGTTATTAAAAGATAGGTTAAAATACTATTTTAATTCATGTATTTTTAGCTTTTGTTCATTTTAGTTTCTGTATTTTTATCATTTTCATTTTGGTCCATATACTTTCAAGTTTGGTTTATATTAGTCTATGTAATTTTAAAATGTTCGATTTAGTCCTTGTACTTTAAAAAGTGACTATTTTGGTCCCAATTTTCAAATTTTAACACAATTTCTTTGTATAACGGAAACCTTTTAATATAAAATCAGGGTTATATTTCAAAAAATATATTGAGTGTAGTGTCGTGTTGAAATTGTGTGATAAAAAATAAAATAAAAATTAAATTCAAGTGTCTAAAATGGTTACATTTTTAAAGTATAAGGATTCAGAAGAACATTTTGAAAGGACAAGATTTAAAATGAACGAAAATTACAAATATAGAAATCAAAATGAATATTTTAAAAGTACACACGGATCAAAATGAATCAAAACTAAGGTAGAATGACAAAAATAGTATTTTAAGTTTTAACCTAAAATATGAATTTGACCTTATAGTAAATAGAGAGGAAGTATCTCTAGGGATTGTGGAATATTTTGCATACATTGTATAAAACAATTTTTGGTAGAACACAATTAAAAGTCTATATGTACCTAACTAGAATGCAACAATTTCCCCCAACAACTTTTAAACTTGAGGAATTTGCTTTGACTGTCTTTGTAATGAACAAAATATATATTTGATCTCTCTCAATTTAACATTAGTTATAAATTTCTGAGCAATTTGGTATCTATCAATTCTCTCACTCTATCATTTCTTGCAATGCAAGTAAAAGAATTTAATCTATATGAGAATAGTAATAATTGTTTTATTAGATTGATGGGAAGTGTCAATTTTTCAATTAAGTTGAACTAACTTAAAATTGATTAATTTTTAAATATTTTATTATATATACTCAATCCAAAAATTTAACCGATGAGTTTGATAAATTTAATTTATTTATGAGCATGTCAACCGAAAGCATTTGTTATTATGTTTTAGAAAAATTTAATATTTTTTAAAAAAGCCAAAAGATATTTGGAAATGGTTTTTCTAGAAAGCAACAAATAGGTGTTATGTCAAAAACTATCGGTGGTTCTAAGACTAACTTGATAACCTTTTAGACCGTATTTAATAATCATTTATTATATTATGTTTTCTGTTTTTAGAAATTAAATTGTTTTTTTCTCATCAATTATTTGGTATGTTTTTCATTTTAAAAATAAGCAAATTTGAATTTTTAACCAAGTTTTAAAAACAAAAATAATAGAGAATGTACCTTCTCGGCCTTACCGATGCTTCTATGTTATGGTCGCTTATGAACTGAGTATCTCTTGAAGAGGCAAATTATAAATTAAAAAAGAAAAGAGAAAAAGAGAAAACAAGCCTCATACAATATCATTTTAATGCCCACATGCTACACAAATATGAAATAATGGGATAATTGTTAGATATAAATTTAAGATATCATATGCATTGTTAGAGAAGTATATAATTGAGGTCTTCAATTTTGACATTATAAGAACACAAAAAAGAAGCATATAGTGAATTAGGGTTAGGTAGGCTCCAACCAAAGAAAAATAGTAACTTTTTTTGCGTATACAAATCAATAATCATCAGTTCACAAACCAGCCTTTTGTCTCCTAAATACAAACCTACCCTCATGTATTTTAATTTGATGGAACTTTAATTGCTGACGTGTCCCTCGACATACTTTAGTACTATGATGGGACTATTTTATCATACCAATTAAATCTGTGTAACTACACTACCAGAAAAAGGATTTTTTTCGACTCCAAACGTCGAGAATAATGATTTCTCCTGACGAAAAAATTTCATCTGGAAAATCGTCGGTATAGCTCCATTGGGAGAAGTCATTCCCTAACATTTTTAGAAAAACATTAGAAAAAGTCCCAAGTTTATATTATATGATGTCTAAGTTTTTTTTTTTTTTTTTAATATGTATGTATATATATGATTTCAAGTTACAATGTAGATGCTGAGAAAAATAGTTATAGTTCTAAAATGGAAGTAAAATTTACCCAAATATTGTTTTTTTTTTAAACCCTAATTTTATTTAGGTATAGAGAATTTAAAATTATATGATAAAAAAGCTTCTAGAAGTTGGATTTACCCTATTTAGTTTCAACAGAATTATACTAATTCAATTTTATTTACCCTTTCTAATTAATGAATTGTAGGCTCTTAATCTAATCTGTCTAACTACTCTCTTCCAAGTCTCAAAGCTAGATATATACCTCCCCTTCAATAATTTTTATAAATGCTGACGAAATTTCTCTGCATTTTTCATAAGGAAAAATCAACAATGTCTCCCTAAGGAAATTTCGTTGATAGCACTACCGACAAAGCTCTCAACTCCCATAAACGTTGCTTTCTGATCACTCTCTTCTTTAATTAGTGAGACACTTTATTTGAACATCTTACAATCCCAACACATTCATCTTAACAATATTCAACTCGACTAGTTCACTTTATCACAATATTGATCATAGTTTTCACGACCTCACTTATTGCTTATTGGAACTATATATACTTCTATATTCAATTTAATATCTTCACTTATAAATACAATTCTCATATAGTTGCCTTAAATATGTTTTTCTAGTTAATTATAATTTACACCAAAACTTGGTTGAATTCTCACCCTATTTTCCATCCTAGCAATAACTCGATCCTAATATTCATTTTGGCAAAGCAATCCTCACATTTTGTAAGAGTAAATTTCCCACATCATACCTTAAACGCCACTAAAATTATTTTGTCTAAAACCTTCATTAATTGAGTACCTAGAGAGAGATAATTAGTCTAATTAAGAAAGTGATTAAGGTCCACAAACACACACACATCACCAAGAAAGTTCATGGAAAATGAGACTTTTCACACTCACCCTTTTTCATATAGGTCATACATAAGGATATGTTTAGAAGTTACCTAAATTTATTAGTAAAAAAAATCCATGATTAGAACACATTCGTCAAAACAAGGAAGAAATGATACCAAATGCTTCAAATGTCAAACCATTAATTTCTTGAGTCCAAACACCGCCCTTCCACACACTATAAAAACAGGCACTTTTCTTTGTCATTTTTCAAAGGCCTAACAGAGAATCAATGTCCCATTTCTGACATTGCAAGGTTTGTTTTGCCTTATTCTACCTTAAAATCTTCCCTCTCATTTACAAAGTTGAAACTCAACCGCATAATATTGGAAGGGTTTGGTTGGTTGCAGTTTGCAGGGAGAGCATGATGCCGAGATCGCCGTCGGTGGACGAGAATGGCCTGAAAAAGGGGCCGTGGACGGCGGAGGAAGACCGGAAGCTGGTGGATTATATTGAGAAACATGGCCATGGGAGCTGGAGAGCTCTTCCAAAGCTTGCTGGTCTGAATAGGTGTGGCAAGAGCTGCAGACTTCGGTGGACCAACTATCTTAGACCTGATATCAAAAGAGGAAACTTCTCTGATGAAGAAGAGGAAATTATCATCAACCTTCACGCAGCTCTTGGAAACAAGTAAGTTTTTTCGATATCTAATCCTTAAATATACCAATCCACAGGATGGTGCAGTGAGTTTGTGACTGAATGGGCATACTCCTCCCCGATTTGAGTAGGGTGGGTAGTTGGGACAAGTCTCATAACATCGAATTATTGTAATGGGTAGCCATCGACACCTCAATTATAAGGATCCAACTGGAAAAGCCAAACACCATCCATTTCCGAGTCATTAAAAAAAATGAAACCATTATGTCGGGGAGATGTTTTTGTGTATTTTTCAAAGATATCTTTACAAGCACATCAATCTTTTGAATGGTTTATTCTATTTTTTCTTTATGAAATTTTAATTATTTTGCTTTAATTTCTAAATTTTTTATCTAGTCTCTAAGTAGAAACTATTTTAGTTTTTGCTGTTAATTCTCCGTTCATAATTTTAATATAATTCTTTGTTTATTAGGGTAGATATTTATCCATTAACAAACAATAATTAGTGGAGTCTTTACTATATAAATATTAGCAAAACTTAACAACAAATAAGAATGGGTTTTTTATTTTTTCATAAAAGGTCTCTAATTGAACGTTTAAGAGTTCAACAACACAATTTTTTTTATATCCTTGAAGATTCAATTAATTTTGCAAGGCAGCTCGATAAATCTCAGAAAACAATCACCTAATGATATAGAATAAATTTTTTGTTTCCTTCAAATGGATTTATAATTAACAAGCTAAGGTTAACAACTTTTATGTTTTTTGTTTTATGTTGCAACAAGATGGTCGATTATAGCGAGCCATCTTCCAGGACGAACGGATAATGAGATAAAAAACTTTTGGAACACTCATTTGAAGAAGAAGCTTCTCCAAATGGGCATTGATCCTGTCACCCACATGCCAAGAACTGATCATCATCTAAACATTCTCTCAAATTTTCATCACTTGCTTTCTCTTCCCTCAGCTCCATGGGACAGTCCCTTTAGGCTACACTCAGAAGCCACTCAGCTTGCAAAAGTTCATCTCCTCCAAAATCTTCTCCAAATTTTAAGCTCTCATTCTTCTGATCATCTCTTCACTTCCAACAGCCTCTTCAGCGGACAACAAATTCCAGACCCAATTTATAATCTCCCCATTGGATCTTCTCTCCAAAGCTTCCAAAACCTAGAGTCCTCACAGCAGCAGCCACTGTCACGTGATGACTACACCACAAGCTCGTTAGGGTTCGGAAACGATAACGATCGAGTAGAGACTTTTTACGACATGAATCATAGTTCAGACTCACTCCCCAACTTGGTTTCAGTCTCTCCTGAGTGCTCGAAGATACCGACCGCCATCAAAGATCACTGGGACGACTGTATGGACGATGAATCTTCATATTCTTATTGGAAACATGTTGAAGAGTAAGTGTGGAGAATGTAAACAAAAAAATATTTAGTTCATCATAATCGTTCACTTAAATTTTTAGGTTTAGTGGTAATTAATGCATGGACGACCTTGTAGCAGTTCCTTGATGATGATTCTCGTCGACTCGTGGAGATATATATATGTAAAGAATTTTGGCCTTTGATTGTATATATGAATGGATTCGTAGGTCTTTAATTATCATCATGTATATGATTCTTATATATAAATAACGAGAATACATTATTAATTAGTGTTTGATTTTCTAAACTTTTTGCTTAGCAGCGATTATTGGATCTTTTGTTCATGCAATTTCAGCTCGTTTACTAGTAGTTTTTCTTATTAATCTACCGCCATTGAACAACATTTTTAAAATCATAATCAAGTTTTTAAAACTAAAAGAAATTTAAAAGATGATCTTAGTTCAACGAACATGTCTGCTTTCTAAGTTTGAAAAAGAGTATATTTTTTCGTCATCAAACAAATTCATTACTTTTAATTAAAAACTTACAAATTTAGAAACAAAATGACAATCAAAACACAATGAATTGGCTACCTTGAACTCACATAATTCATTCATGTGAGTGTTATAATATGATTGTGGATTCCTAATTTGTATTTTGACTCGCTTAATTACAGGAATTATAAGAAATCCATTTGTGTAACCTTTTAAATAAGGTCTTTTTAAAAGTAATTCAAACAATGAGAAAAAATCTAACTCCAAATCAATTGTGCTTTCTAAATTGAGCTAACTCCAAAGGTTAAAAGATAATATAGTCTTCCTCAGTTAACTAATCACAAGGTATAGAAAGAGAATTATGTGTTAATTGTCTCTTAAAAGATTCGACATTGAAAAGATAAGAACCCGGGAAGCATTTATAATATAAGTGAGATATTCGTTTYATTGTCAATTGATTTTAATATGTAATTTGATTCAATAATATAGATAATGATATCAGAGTCCAGAAGTTAAAACGAGCGTCCATGAATATTCGATATTGTCAAAATAAATATAAGAAAATTGTAATGATGTTAATTATTAGTATCAAAACTTCTCTTAGCTCCCATTATCTTAATAAGAATAAAAGGGGCATTTAATATTTGTTCCAAAAATCTAAATTTGATAGAAGTCTACGAGCTCCTAAATAAAGAGAGAGCATTTAATTTGACCTAATTAATTAAATAGTGTGTTATAATAATGTTAGTAGACATAAAGTCCAACAAATATAGTATATTATATATTTATTTATTTATTTATGGGATTTGAAAATCAAATAGTTGGGTGAGTTTACTGACTACACAAAACGATCTAATTAGTTGTTTTGTGTTTGGGAGACGCAAGTGATAATTGCAATTTAGAAAAATGACTCTTCTAGAAGAAGACATCCAAAGATGTTGACCTTTTGAGTAGGTACGAACTCATGTCAAAATTTTCTACCCTTCTCAAATTGATAAAGTTTTTCCTCAAAATTTTTCTGTGCGAACGCCTTGATTACTTATCAGAAATCGGAATTGACATAAATTGGAATGAAAATCGATCGAGATGAGAATGTTATTCCTATCTTTTGACGTTGTTTACCAGTAATTTGTTGGAATCGGAATTGGATATATAATAATGACTAGTATACTCATTTCTCCTTTCTAGCTAATTACAAACACATTAATGTGTGCTAATCTTTTTTTAATTATAATAGTAATAAATTTTAGTTTATTTTATTACTATATTATTGATAGTAAGTATTTTTTATTATAATAATTTATTTAATGTTAATAAATAATGAATAATTAAAATAAAATTACATCAACTAAAATACTTTTTTATCAGAACCATCATCATTTAATATAAAATAATATTATTATTATAATATTTAATAGTAGTGAATTCTATTTTTAAAAATCTATTGATATTAAAGTAAAATTTAAAAATTTAAATATAAATTTATAATATTTCATGATAAAATCAAATCTACTAATAAAAGTGGTATAAATTTTTATTAGTAGTATAAATGAAAAAGAAATAATCAAATTATAAAACAATTAATTTAAAAAGTTATAGATTTCATTAATGGGTAAAAGTAGAAAAATAATTGCAATAAATGCAGCCCGCAAATAAGAAATGGGGATGAGATTGACGAAGGTATATGAGATTGTCCATTTTAATTTTATTCATCGTAACAACATTAGTAACATATAAGTCTTAATGTGTCGTTTGTGACAAAAGTGCAAGTATCACGGGAGTAAACAAATGGAATAAGGTACAAAAACAATACTAGGTTTTTTCCATATCTCAAACCCTATGTTCTCTTTAATGGTTTCTTCTCTCTTATAAGATTTTTTCTATCTATTAAAAAATTATTGGAAGAGACTAGAACACTGTGACAGTTAACTATGCTCATTGATGCATAAGGGAAGTTATCCAATGTATTTTAAACTCTATTAAATGGTTATTATATGGTTATTAGGAGGCATACAAATTTTAAATCCTGCCTCCAACCATGATTAGCTAGGAAGCAGCCATTTTTAAAAATTTGTTTTTGAAAAAAGTAATTGTGCATATGGAAGGGTTTTGTTTTAAAAAAAATGTGGAGTTTAAAATTAATGACCTTGCTTTTAACAATATCTTCCATTTGATAAAAAGTCAAAGTCGTTGTTAACTATTAGGTAAGACTATTTCCTTCCTTTAATTAATATTATTGATTCAACCCAATAGCAAATTTCTCAAACAAGTTAAGTGAGATTTTTTTAGGTAACTTCTCTCCTTTTCTCTCTCTAGAACATGAAAATGACTGAGTTGGTGTACTTATATGAATTTGGTTGAAAATTTAAACCTAGATATGAAAGGTATCTTAGTCGGTTTGGAGAAATACTTTGTTGTTTTGAGAGTTTGGTCCAGCTTCCGCTATCTCCTATAATATTATCTATTTTGAGCTTAAACTTGTATGATATCATTTCGAGTCATCTTTACTCAAAAGGTTTCATTCAAATGATGATATTGTAACTCATGTGAGATTGTGGTCGAAAAAGATTGAAAAGTTTTGATCACTTGATCTCCCCTCAAATAGTTATCTAATCAAAAGTTTGTTCGGATGAAGTTAAATTTTCATAAAATTAATTCATTTTTCTCCAAATTGAGCAGTAGAAAGTTGATTTGATAGAGCTCAACAATACATATTATAATGTGGGATATAATATATAGTTGGTGCTAATAATTCCTTCTCATGAATACTCCTTTTAACAATCCAATGAATACTCCTTTTAACAATCCATTGCACTGTCAACTATACATATTATAATGTGGGATAATAGTTGGTGCTAATCCTTCTTTGTCACACATAGGCTTTTAACAATCCATTGCTGGGGAAATGTTATTAGGGACGTCTCTTAACACTCTTAATTTTTATCGAAACTTGCTCCTTAACTCAGATTTACTGTGGACCACATTACTAAGATAATCGAAGCTCACCTTTTCTGGTTGACATTTAACTATTTCATCTATCTGACTAAGTCTCTAAAACTCTCTAATTTTATTCAACATTCAATGCTTTCATACAGCCATATGGATAAACCAAAACAAAATTTAGAGCACATCTCTAAAAAACATATTAGGACAATAAATCATATTAAAAACAAACAAACAAATATAGTTCTTTTAATTACATTGGTACGAATATTGTCTATATCGAACCTAAATTAAATCATTCCAGATTTGAGTGATGTGAGACATTGACAGTGCTCCTAACCATCGGTAAAGAGCGCAAGAGATGATCTGTCATTATTAAAAATTGACAAGCTTATTAACCTAGTTTAACGAGTGGACTTTTAATTAGTAGGTAACTTGTTGACTATTAAATGTAACTAACCCACCTACTTTGCTAAGTTTGTTTTGCTTATAATATATGATTTTTCCAACTCTATGTTAGATATCAATTTAAGCCATATTTGTCTTGTGTTGAAGACATCTTTTTTCTTTCTTCCTTGTTTATAAACCAAAGTCTCCATGATTTTCTCTTAAAAAAGATATATGCAATGGGGAACTTTCTACCTATGGACGTATTCCTTTATCTTATTATCAAATTAAAAACATTTTCAAAATCTAGCCAAAATTAAAACATTAAAAAAAGAGATTTTCAATTTTTTTTTTTTTTTTTGTTTTTAAAATTTGATGTGCATTGAAAAAATGGGAAAAACACATCAAAGAAATAGTAGAAATCATTATCCAACATGGCTTTGACTAGTTAATTTTAATTTCATCAAATTGAACGTTGAAATACATATACCGTTTTAGTTAGGTGATCAAGATCAAAGCTCTCATATTTCTTTTTCTTCTTAGAGATGAATACCGTTTTGAATTTTCATTTAATCTTTAAGTTCCAAAATCTACACCTATGTGTTCTTATTACATATCTCTAGATATGTTTTTATATTATATTTAAGTTTGATTTTAATTATGCTGTATTTAATTCATATTACAAATCTCTTCCTTGTTACAAACAAATAAATAAATATATATATATAATAATCATCATTGATCAATTTATTGGCTAATAGAGACAGATGTAAATAGTAAATGGCTTAGAAAGAAGGGCTCGAATCATGGTAGTTACCGAGTGTGTAGTAGAGCATCAACCATTGGCTTTCTATTTAGAAATTTATTTTTTTCCTTGTCCCAATGGTGGAGGCTTTTTTTATTCCAATCATGCTATTGCTATTGGCCCAATTAGCTTATACAAATATTAAAAACAAGACTAAGGAATATGCATACAAAAATTTAAGGGCCCTTTGCAACAAAATAATAATAATAATTCTGTTACAAATAAAACAACTACTACACTCATTTTCAAATAGACCCAAAAAAAAAAAAAACGGAGGCCCGACCTAATGAAAAAATTAAAAAGCCCATTATACCACTAGTATTAAATACATGTACAGATATTTAAACTATCTAAATAGTCTACAATTAAAACTTTTATTAAAAAAAAACATTACTATTACAACTTAAGGCAATATGAAAAAAGAAAAAAGAAAGTCTCAATCTCACAACCTTAAGTCTCTCTCTCATGAATTCTCAAAATGTGGAAGATAGAAACCTGTTCTGAGTTGAGACCATCCTTTTACAGGTCAAAATTCTCTTCCTTCAATTTTTTTTTTTTTTTTTTTTTATAATTTCCATACAGTTTCACGTGCTACATAATGACCGGCCAACCAATGAACCAACCCAACAACAGTTTTCTAAACACAAAAATGAAAAAACAGCATCAATTTCTAACACCAATCAGAAAGCAAATGTTTTTCACCACTAAGATACAGTTTCCCAACAGCCGTTGCACAAGAATTTAAACTTTTCAATGGACCACTACAACTTTCAAGAATCATCACTGGGTATTGCTAGCTTTAACCCAGCTTCCCTAGATATTGAAAAACTCAAGGTGGGCAGATCAGATTCCAAGTATTTCCATAACTAAACAATCATGAGTCATTTTCTCAACATTTAATGTCATGGTATATCAGGAATACAGTACAGAGGATTTTTTAAGGGAATATGTCGAACTTACCATTAACCAACATCTGATGTCATTGCCAGCTCATCCTCCAGCTCATTCTCTCCTTACTGATCTTTACTGATGTGGCATGTAGATGCTGATGGTAAATCATACAACTATGCTTTCTTTCTGTCAGTCATCTCCATGCTGTTAGCTATCTTTTCTTGTAAATGATTTATTTCTGCCAGAATGGCAAGATTATGATGGCTGCCAATCTGTCTGTTCCTTATACATTACTCGCACAAAGTCTAAATTAAGATTGATGAGGATGCATCTTTTTCCTGAGAATTTATTTCCCTGATAGAAGATACTAACAAAAACAGGGCAAAATTCTTGACAGTATAGAAAGATAAAGAACTCGGCAAAACAGCATGAAAATAAACTCTTTCCTATCTAATCTTATCTGATTTGCATGTACTGTGAGAGAGAAATTCCTGGATTAAGCCCTTTCAGCCTATATAGAGAGAAGCGAAAATAAAACTAAAAAAAGTAAGAAAAGATCTGAATAAAAAACCAACGGGAAAAGTTAAGTTCTTAGAATGCTACAGCTACTATACTGCAGTTCATTACATGATTTACAAGAAAATTTCAGAGCTGAAATACAATCTTCCAATATGAATACATTTGATACAATGATGAAGTATATTTCTTTTGGGCCAAAAGCAGAGCACTGGGGGTTAGGGGTGAGTTTAGGATAGTTTTGGAAAAGGTACTTTTTTTATGTGGAAGCACTCCTTCTCCTTCTCCTTCTCTAAGTACTATTGGGAGAAAAATATTTTCTTCAGATCACTTCTTCCCTATGTAGTGTTTAGAAAGTACTTTTAATAAACTAAAAAGCCTTTTAGTCTTTCAAAAGTTATCCCAAACTCGTGCCAAACTCACCAGGAGGGGCATTAGTTGTTTGCCCTGGACGATCACATGCCAAATGATTTCTTCTAAAAAATATTATCAGCCTAATTTAAACAGAACAAAAAATTGTGGAGAGTAAATCAATAGTCCTCATGATCAAGTTACAGTTCCTAATTTACACAATTCACTGGCAATGATTGAGAGGGAAAGTAGGAAGCACTTCACTCCAATGCAAAAGAAATTCATGTGTAATAAAAATCAACAAAACGAGTGGAAAAGCACAAAAACTGCTTCCGTCCACTGCATTATGAGATGCACAAGGACTCTGTAGCAGCAAAATTCAAACAATCAACATGAGCTAGAAGAGATATTCAAGGAACAAAAGATTTCATTTACTTAAAAGTTATCACATCAGCAAGCGCTTCCAAGGTTTGCAAGACTTCTAACAACTACAGGCTCAGATTGATAACCATTTTGTATGGGCTCAGATGAATAACATTTTGTTTTCAGTTTTCTGTTTTTGAAAATTAAGCTTATAAACTGTGTTTCTTAGTTTTGTAATCTACCTTTTCTAAAGCATTTTCAAAATTCAAGCAAGTTTTCAAGTAGTCTTTAAAATCTTGTTTTTGTCTTTGAAATTTGGCTCGAGAGTTCAAATGTGTTTTTAAGAAAGGTAAAAAACTGAAGTAAATGATAGAGCGCCTATTGTTAGAATATAAACAATTTCAAAATATCAATAATCAAACAAGCAACATGCTATCAGGAGGTTAAGTTAATGTCATAATCGATATAACTCATGCATCATAACTAGTAATAATTTGTAACTTGTAAAGCATCCTCTAACAGTGGAAGAAAAAAGCTCTACAAGAGAGGCACACCAATCATTTTAATAAGATCAACTGATTGAACTCACTAATGGGTGTAAAAGAACAGCTTTGGAAAGTTTCCTCTCCCAGATTGATAGATATAAATACCATCCACACTCCACCCTTCCAAGTAAATCCCATATATCATCACCAAAGCACTACTCTTATTTGATTACTACCCGTCACATTCAACAGAACACTACCTCATTTTCATTTACATAGGAAGAATTTGAGTCCCCCCCAGCAGTCCGTTTATGAACAACGTCTAAGAAAAATTTTGTCAAGAAAGGCTCATAGTTAGGCATTTTGGCATACCCAGGTAAGTAATTAATGTCAATCACAAGGTACCTGTTCTGATCTCTACTGTCCCTAATCAGATCGAAGTTAAAAAGCGTAAGCCCCATTGCCTCCCTCAACCCTGCCGCCACATTCATGACAAAGTTCAGAGATGGCATTTCAACATTACCCTCTCCATTCCCGCCGAAACTCTCAGTTTCCCCATAGCCTGGAGCTGCTGAATTCGATATCCTCGAAAAATTGGACACGGGCTCCAACTTCTCCAGCTCCTCCTCCGCTATATCCGGTAGCGATTTCCTCGTTACGCACACCACGCACTCCCCGACCACATACACCTTGAACACAACTCCGCCATGGTTCACGAACTCCTGCAGCACGATCGGAGCGCTCAGTCTCTTCAATCCGCTGTCATTCGCCACCAAACACATATCATGCGATTTCGAACTCCCGTCGGCCTCCAAGGGCTTGGCAATCACCGGGAATTTGAGCCCTAAATCCCTAAATGCATGTAACCCATCCTTGGCCACCACATCCAAATCATGGAGCACGACCTGCCTGGGAGCCTCAATCCGCTCGTCCCCGTGAGGAATCGTGATCTGGTTGACCACCTGGAGCATGGAATCGCGATGGAGAAGGCGGGAGATTTGGTCCGGCGGGTCGATGACGACGACGTCGGGGTAGAGGGAAGCGAAATCCCGCAATTGCTGGACCCAAGACTGGTCGTAGAGCTTGTGGATGATGCAGTGGAAGGGGGATTGGTGGAGGAGGGGGAGACGGGGGTCAATGCGGACGAGGTCGATGCCGTGGAGCTTGGCGTAATCGACGAGAGAAGGGAGGATGAAGGTCTGCTCCTTCTTGGGGGAGAAGGCGTAGCCTATTCGGAAGCGCGGAGGGGAAGCCATGGCGGAAGAAGAAGGAGCGTTTGGGAGGTGAGAAAATGGAAGGGAAAATTGAAGGGAAAGTGGAAATTGGTTGCCGTTGGAGTTGCAGTTGCAGTTGCAGAGAAAGGAGAAGGGGAAGTGGGGGAGTATATATAATCTCACACGTATCAGACAAGTGTATGCCATTCGCCATCTACATTACACATCCTAACTCCACTATTTATTACAGATGACTCGTCAGAAATGTCTATTTTAGTTTTGACAAAAATATATATTTTCTAGCGTCGATTCGAATTCCGTTCCTACATGTTCTGTACCAAAGAAGAAAAAAATGAACTCTTTTCTACAAATTTACAACTACATTTCAAGACCTTTAGTGATTAAAATTTGGATGGAAAGAAGTGAGATAGAAAAAAAATGAAAGAACCAAAATTGTTACAATTTTTTTTAAGTACAGGGGCAATACTACCTTTGATATATAGTTGAATTGTTGTTTTATTAACATATTTGGACATGTAAAAATATTCACTCAAATACTTATTTATGCATGAAATCTAATTGGTCCACTTGATAAAGTTGGATCTACTTATCAACAAAGTGCATTTCTTTCCCGTGACATGTCTAAATGGTATAGTCGCGTGTCTTAATATGCTAACAAAACAATGTCGAGATACATCAACTTTCTATTAACAAGATTTTACATTTCTTCTAAAATATTAATTGAAAAAAAATTAATATTACTAAAAGAACAAGGATCCAATTGAGAAAAGAAATTAAAAGGTTAGAACCATTTGAGATATTTAACCAAAAGAATAAAAAATAAAATAAAAAGCATCGATCTTGGGGTTCTTTTTAGTACAAGCATTGATTTATATCTCCAACTCCTAATTTAAGCCATTATTCTTATAGCAAATGATTTTTTTAGTGGTATATTTTCAACCAAAAATATATATAGTTGTAACTTCATTAATTACAGCTCGATAGTAATAATTAAATTTTCAACTCCAAACTACCAATAAGTATCAACATTAGCTTAGTTCAATAATATTTTACACTTTGTATCTGATTAAAAGATCATGAGTTTAGATCTTCCCACCTCCACTTAATATACTAAAAACACCACCAATAAATTTTTAGAGTTATTGTAACGATAGTTATTGTCATCCAACTTCGCAATTTAAAGTTACAAGAATAGAGTTTTTTTTTTTTTTCTGCAGAGTCAACAACGTGTGGAATGGAGATTCTAACCTCCAAATTTTCAGTCGGATTAAAAATGTATACCAATTTTAGAACTTTTAAAGAAGAATCCTTTGAAATTTTGAGTTTGCTTTCCTTGAGACCCATTACAGTGTATGAGTGGTTCTGTAAATTTTTATTTTATTCATTTTTCCTCCCTAGTAAAACAAATCGCCTTCATTACGCCTACTTAGCTTTCAAATATAATATTTTATCGATTTTTAAATCTTTTTAATTTTATCTGTTCAATCCCTTGATTAAAAAAATTAATAACTAGATTTACTTGGATTATGCTTCTATTTATTTAGTCTGTAACATTATTAATAGAATTTTTGAAAAGTAAAACTATTAATAGAATATTGACATGACATACTCATAAATAAATCATGATTGAGTTTATTTGATGTAAAAAATAGTTAAAACAAACTAATAGAATATCAATGTTTATATATATATATATATATATATATATATATATATAGTTAGAAAGTAACAAGGAATAACAACCATTAAGCAACAATCCTAGTCCTAGAAATGGCCATTAGCCATTCCTCAACAATCCAAACTCAATCCAAAATCCTCTTTAGAAAGAGATTTGTGCAAATTATTTGAAAGTCGATTCTGGTAAATTAAAAAAATTGATTTAAGTTTAAAATCACTTTAGATTTGATTTTTAAAATATCACTTGATAGTTATTTTGAAAAATCAATTATACTTAAATCTCTTTTTTGAAAATCATTCCTTCTACTACTACTCTCAAACACACTCTATTTTGCACCATTACTCTCGTGATGGGTGAAGTTAAAGTTGATGGAGTATCGGGTGAAGTTAAAGTTGATAGAACTTGTCTGAGAGCAACATATCTATGTATATCAGTAAGTAATAAGTAAAATATCCACTTATAGGAGGTCCTTAAGGAATAACATCGCAAGGAATCAAAATTAATCTACCGTACCATAGTGAGGAAGATATTTAGTTGTGGCAAAGAGGATTCGTCCTCTTGAGTTACGAATGATATAATATTTCTAAAATGCGAAATGTAATTGAAACTTTAAAAAAGTTTAGATAGAAAATAGAGATACATCTTCCATAGATAATGTATAGGAATTCAATTTATAATCCAACACCATTTTTACTTGAATGATATAATATTTACATATAAATGTAACTGAAACTAAATTAAGAAAAATATAACACTTTTTCATGTGGACAAAATATTCCAAAATTAATATCAGTCTCCCCTTTAATTCTAAAATTAAAGAGACAATCAAGATACATGCATTTGATATTATTAGAATTCAATACCCAACATGCATTCCACTAAGTGAATTTTATAGAATATGTTAATTGAGTTTTAGTTTTTATATTTTTGTATTCTTGATTCTAATTGTATCAAATGCATTATTTATAGCAAACAATTTCTTTTTCATATATATAGCAAAACCCAAGCAACTAGCCCATATGAAGAAATATATATGTGTGTGTGTGTGTACAAAGACAAAAATACCCTTCCCTTCTAATAGTGAATAGTGATTGCCAAATTTAGATTCATTTTCTTTCATATTTGCCTTCTAATTTAACTTCCTCCCAATTAAGTTCATTTAATCTTCAATCAAGGTAAAGAGTAAAAAAATAATAATAATAAGGGAAATTGGTAATGAATAACCGCCATATTTATCATACTTGCAAATATAGCTACAGTTACTGAGTTTTGCAAATGTGGTAAAATATTTGAAATTTGATTTCCGATATTTTAATTATTTCGATTTTATCCTTTCAAACTTTCTTATATATTAATAGAATATACCAAATCTAGTATATCAAAATGAAATGAATGAAAGCGACGAAAGAGTTTTCGTAGAAGGAAATGAGTTTGAGGTAAAAACGAAGGAAGCACGGTTAGAACGAGTATTCATTAAGGGTTGGATTATACTATTTTTTCAAAATTGAAAAGTAGTTGCTATTTTTACAAATTTCTATTATTTTTTTTTGGTTAAAAAACACATTTGGTCCCTAAACTTTCGTGAAAGTAACGATTTAGTCTCTGAACTTTTAAAAGTAACGATTTAGTCTCTGTACTTTCAAATTGGTAACAATTAAGTCCTTGCCGTTAAAAATTGGGTTAGATTTAACATAAACTTGATGTGGCATATCCATGTGTCAAATTTAATGTCCAAGTGTACGGTTGGTTCAATAATAGGTCGGTTCAAAGTTGAACCGGTTTGAGATGTAAAAATAATATTAATTATTAGAACGGAACATGGTCTCCTCATGTTTCACGGCTTATCACCCCACGTTCCACATCATCTCATTTTTGACCGCCTTCGTAGCTCCGAGGAGCTCGAGCAACAGTCCGTCGACAAATTGGTGCACAAAATCTACACGCCAATTCTCCTCCGTGAACACAAACTTAGTAATTATGACATTCGCTTTCGGAATATCCGTCGGCTTGTAATCAGCTTAGGAATGGTGCTAATCAAGCTATCGTACGACATGCTAAGGAAGGCAAAGACGAACTCCAGATTGTTCTTCGTTCCGTGTGTGAATCAATCTCCGCACTCCCACACTAAATATGATTTTTTTCATTAAATCCAAAAGGTGCCCTTTTTTTCATTTTTTTCACATCAATTAGACCAGGTCTCCACCATTTCTCCGGCCATGGCTTCTATATGTTTCACTGCCTATAAATATAATCCTAAAATTCAATTTCTCCCTCGTTCTCTAACAAAACCCACAAAAAAAGGGGTAATGATTCACATTTCATGTTCTGGGCTTTGATCCCCTGTTTCAGTTTTCGTCAAAAAATATGAAGATGATGAACACAACCAGTCTTCGGTTTGGCCAAACGAATGTTTCTGATGAGACGACGACTCTCTTGAATTTGATTTTTTTGGTAAAAGGGAATACTTTGGATTCGATATTCTCACATTGCGGAAATGTCTCCGACACCGGAGCTCTAGATCTGGGAATCGAAGGGTCGTCGGTTTGCCTCCGACAACGGGAGCTTCTGCAGACGAAATTGAATGGGTCTACGGATCTTTTTTTGCAGGCGCAAGAATTTATTTATCACAGCAGTGGCAAGAAGAAATTTTACAGAGGAGTGCGGCAGAGATATTGAGGGAAATGGGTGGTGGATATTCGGCCGCCGCATAATCAGATGAGGGTCTGGTTGGGGACCTACGAGTCGCCGGAGGCTACCGCCTACAACGGGGGAATACGCGCGATTGAATTTCCCCAATCTTAAGGACCTGAAGAACAGTTTGGGCTTCGGTGAGTTTGCGAGATTGAGTAGGTTGAAGATGGCGTGGAGCGTGGGGTGATAAGCCGGGAGACCATGTTCCGTTCTAATAATTAATATTATTTTTACATCTCAAACCGGTTCAACTTTGAACCGACCTATTATTGAACCAATCGTACACTTGGACATTAAATTTGTACACATGGATATGCCACATCAAATTTCTGTTAAATCTAACCCAATCTTTAACGGCAAGGACTTAATTGTTACCAATTTGAAAGTACAGGGACTAAATCGTTACTTTTGAAAGTTCAGGGACTAAATCGTTACTTTCACGAAAGTTCAGGGACCAAATGTGTTTTTTAACCTTTTTTTTTCTACTTCCACAAGTGCCCTAGTAAATATGAACTTTCTCGATTTAAAAAGGTAAATAGTAAACATACTCCTATTAATTAATTTATAACTGTGTATCTTATCTCTTTTTAGGACAACTATTTTAGTTTTTTTTTTTTTTAAGTTAAAGCATTAGTAAACCATCTTCAATGCTCTCACCCGCTCGACTGTGCAGTAGCCCACTCCCTTTTTCTCTTTCTTCGGAAAGGTGTAAGTTTTCTCTCATTCTTTTTATTTGAATTTTTCAGAGGGTATTTTCTCTCTACTTTATTCTGGTTCTTCTGTGGTCTTTTTTTTAGAAGTGAGTAGTATGGATCTAAATATAATAGAGACCTCTTTTGTTATTGTGGAGATGATTTTCAGGAATGATCTTTCTTCCCCGTTGATTTCTGTGATGGTAGACGGTGGTCGGGTGTTGGGGATCTCCCCATTGGATGTTGACCATGTTGTTGTGGTTGACAAAATCAATGCCAACATTGTTATGTATGGTCTGTGGCTTAGTCATTTGGGCATTTTGAAGAGTATCAGGCACAAAATTGGAAAGGGCACCCGCCTGCAATCTTTTGGAATGACTCTTCATCTCTGTTTCATCTTAGTTCAGAGAACTTCCATAGTCCAAGGATAAGGAAGACAGAGCAGCAGATGAGCAACGATGAAGGAGTAGCAACAATCGATTCAAAAACTGTTTTGGAATCTGGGGAGGTTATAAATCTTAATTGTATTAAGATTTGTGACTAGTATGATTTCCAGAATTTGTCTAATCCTTCCTTACCTATCATGATGGAGAATAAAGCAACTTTGGAGGCAATTATTTCTATTCCAATTATGAATAGGGGTGCCATAATTGAGAAGATATCTCAATTAATTGAGAATTCTCTCCTGATGAATTTTGAGAAGGCATTCAGTGGGCTAAGATTTGTTCATATTCCTAATTCTTTGAATAGGCAASCTGTTTTATTAGCCAAGTGTGTTATTTCTGATTGTTTCTATGTCCTTTGAGACAATTGGTTTCCTTTATAGACTGTGATGGTGATGTGTGGTCACCACTCTTGAGATGTAACCTTATTATTTCTATTTAATCCAATGTTTCTTTGTTTAAAAAAAACCATCTTCAATGAATTATAAATTCAATTATTTTCCAAACAGAAGTTTCTATTCTTTTCTTATGATTAACTTTATCTGAGACACATACCTAGTAAATTAAACTGAACTTAAGTTTATTTAAATGAGTCTTAATTGTTTATTTGATTACTAGTAATTATACACATTATTCTATTATAAGTATTTGTCTTATACATTTTTCAATTAGTGGTGTTTCTTTTATGGTCTAATTCAATTCTAATAATAAAAAGAAAATTAACAAGACTAGAAAAACAAAAGATAATACAAGCCAAAATAAAGAATAATTGGAGAAAAAGGGTGCAAAAAGTTACAAGTAATTTCCAAATTAGCTTGTCGCATCAACCTATTAAATCTTAGACTAGAAAAACAAAAGATACGTATAAGCCAAAATAGAGAAAAATGGTGCAAAAAAAAGTTACAAATAATTTTCATATTGTTGTCACGTCAACCTATTAAATCCTAGTCAATTTTATATTTTGGAGATTAAACTAATTATGTTAATTCCGTGACCTTTTAAATTTATTTTTTAAAATTTAAGTATTAAAATATATCTTGTTTTTAAAATTTAGAAACGCCAAAATTATGTAAAAAACTGAAAATTGAGGGACTAAAGA